GTAGACTCCCGCTCGATGAAGAACTCTGCAAAGTTTTTCTGTTGTTTGATAATGCGTTTCGCGCGCGCCCCCTCGAGGAAAGTGCGCCCCCCATCTTGGATCTTCAATAAATAACGGGATCCACATATTCCCGCTTTCTCTCTGAGATAAAATACATGGTTCGGAGACCTTACAAAGTGGCAGAACATGCGCACATATTGAGTTGTTGCGTGCCCGCTCGAGGATGGCGTGTCCTCCGCGAAGAGATTGCGAGGATGTCTCGAGCGACTCCTGTGTCGCAAAACTTGAAAAGCTTGGGCGCCCCAGGATGCCCAGGTGGTTCTGGGAAGGTGGAAGCGCGTGAAAACACGTTGGTTCCTTACGTTCCAGATCGGGACAACCGTGAACGCACGTGGGTTCCTAATTCCCCAGAGCGGGACAAGCGTGAAAGCACAGGTTCCTCACGCGCCAGAGCGAGACAAGCATGAAAACACATTGGTTCCCAACGCCCCCGGGCGAGACAAGCGTGAAAATACATGGGCCCCCAACGCCCCAGAGCGGGACAGGCGTGAACACGCATGTTCCTAACGCCTCAGAGCGGGACAAGCCTGAAAACACGCAGGTTCCTAACGCTTCAGAGCGGGACACGCGTGGAAACATTCAGGTTCCTGGCGCACCAGAGCGGGACAAGCGTGAAAACAGATGGGCTCTTAACGACTTAAAGTTGCGCAGGCGTGAAAAGACATGGGTTCCTAATGCCTCATAGCGGGACAAGCGTGAAAACATGTGGGTTCCTAGCGACACCGGCCGGGACAAGCGTGAAAACAGGTGGGTTCCTAACGTTACGGAGCGGGACAGGTGTGAAACCACGTGGGCCCTAACGCCTCACAGCAGGAAAAGGCGGCCCGGGGCCAAGGGGGGCATTTAGCATTGTTGCCCCGAGCTGGGACCGCGTCTTGACGTGTCCAGGCCACAGGGAGATATCCAACGTGTGGTCTATGCCTGAGCAGTTTGTGAGGGTGTCTCGAGCGAGAGCTTCGTAACTGAATCGGATCTTGAGCTCGAGCTGGTCGAGCGCCCCGCGCGTTTCGATTGCAACTCGCTTGGGCGATGCGTTTAGGAAGCTCGAGCTTAGATCAAACTCAGTTCGGTCAGGATACCAACGCCAAAGGACGGCTTTATCCACAATTAAATATTGCACGGCACAGTTCAACGCGGCATATCCCGTGTCACGTCCCTTGGCATTTCTCTCGGCACGTCACAATGCGGCGCGGCACAGCGCAGAGCAGCACAACTCAGCCCTTAGCACGACAGCATCACCATCGATACCTTCAGCACTGTCACTGCCCATCGCCTGCTTTATTAGGTGCTTGGAAGCGTTCCCATGCTTCGCAGCTCTGAATCCCTTCCCGGGCTCGTTGGCCGATCGTGCTTCAAGAACGGAATGTCATTGGACACCCCGCTGGATTGTATGAGCGTATGGTGTTGCATATTTGGTTGCGCGCCTGAAGGATGCGGGGCAGCTCCTGCTCAGATTCGGGGCACTCGCCCCAGCGGCGGGCGCCATGGGGCGCTGGTCCTTCGACTTGCGGCGAAGAGGAGGGTTTGCAAGAACCTGCGAGGAAGGGGCTTGGGGCCCTCCTCCTGCTCCTGCTCTTGCTCCTCCTGCTCCTCCTCCTCATCCTCCCCCTCCTCCCCCTCCTCCTCCTCCTCCTCCTCCTCCTCCTCCTCCTCCTCCTCCTCCTCCTCCTCCCCCTCCTCCTCCTGAGATAATCGCGCGTCGCCGCCTGGGCCAAAGCTGTTGCCCTTCCCCAGAGAGGGCGGCGCGAGGGCGGGAATGGCGCGAAGATGAGCGCGCATCGCGGGGCGCGATGCGCGAAGCTAGATGACCTGGATTGCAGCATCGCTGACGCATCGTGGATTTATTATGGTCCTCCTCCTCCTCCTCCTCCTGTTCCTCATCCTCCTCCTCCTCCTGTTCCTCCTCCTCCTCCTCCTCATCCTCCTCCTCCTCCTCCTCTTCCTCGCTGTCAGCAGTCGGTCGTGCCGATGCGGACGTCCCGTCGGTTGACTGTCGTGTGATGTTGCCGCCCCCGTCTTGGTAGCTGCCACCGTCGCCGTGTACGGCAGCTTGTTCCCGGAAACGGCGTGGGCCCAGGGTTTTCTCTTAGGATGGTAATATGTCCCCGGTCCAAATTCGCACAGACAGGCGGATTTCCGTTGGCTAAAAAGCAATGCGAAGTCCCACATCGGATGGAAATTCTGAGGGTGTCTCAGCCGAAGCGTAAGTCCGCTCGAGAAATAACGGCGTCGGGGACCTTCGTTTCCCTTGTGGTAAAAAAGGCGCGTAACGTTTTACCCCAAACCTGTTTATAAATAACGAAGTCTGGAGGCCGTACAAATTTACGGATGATCGTCTTCCGCGCAGAGCGTTCGAGAACGTCTCGAGCGAAACGCTTGTCTCTCATCACTTGAAGGGCTTCGGCGCCCCAGGATGCCGAAGCGGTTCTGGGAGTGCGGTCGCAGCGTAGTTTACAGGGGATCGTGGGCTTCGTCCCTGGGAGCGCGGACGCAGAGTAATGTACAAGGTACCTTCGGCCCTGGGAGCGCGGACGCAGCGTGATTTACGGCGGATCTCGGGAGCGCGGACGCAGCGTCAATTTACGCAGCGCGGACGCACTGTGGTTCACGAGGAATCGTGGCCATGCGAGCGCGGACGCCGTATTTTACCTGGGATCGTGGCCATGGGAGCGCGGACGCAGCGTGACTTACGATGGACCTTGGCCCGGGGGGGGCGGGCACATCCTGGCCCTGGGAGCGCGGACACAGCGTGATGTACAAGGGATCCTGGCCCTAGCAGCGCGGATGCCGCGTAGTTGACAAGAGATCGTGGCCTTGGGAGCGCGGACCCAGCGCAATGTACGAGAGATAGTGGAGTGGGGGCAGCGTAATTCACGAGTGACCGTGACCCTGGCAGCGCGGGCGCAGCGTAATTTGCAAGGGATCGTGGCATTGGGAGCGCACAAGCTCTGTCACTTACCGCAATGTACAAGGGATCGTTGCTTTGGGAGCGTGATTCCAGTGTAATGTTCGAAGGAACGCTGCCCTGGGAGCGGGAATACCGTGTCATTTGCAAGGGATATTGGCGCTACGAGCGCAAATCCAAAGTGATTTACGAGGGAAAGCGGCCTTGAGGGCGCGGACGGCATGTATTTTGCGAGGTTTCGCACGTTCGGGTCCAGCGACGAATTGTCAGGAAACAGCGGGGATGGGGGCCAAAAGCGCCACCCGAATTCATATACCAATACAGGAAAGAAGCATTTTCCGCTCTGGAGAGGAAGGGTGCTCTTCTGGGCAACCTCCGCGGAGTGCATAGTGGCCCTGGGGGCGCGGACGCAGCGTAATTCATGAGGAATCGTGGTCCTTGGGCACGGTCCCTGGCACGTTCCTTGGCGCCTCCCCTGGGCACGTCGCGCAGCCGAACCCTTGGCGCGTTCCCTGGCACGTCCCCTGGCACGTCCGCTGGCACGCTCCATGGCGCGTCCCCCTGGCACGTTCCGTGGCGCATCCCGTGGCGCGTCCCCTTGGCACATCGCGCGGCGAGTCCCCTGGCACGTCCCTTGGCACGTCCACTGGCACGTTCCGTGGCGCATCCCCTGGCATGTCACTGTGCGGCGCGGCACAGCGCAGAGAAGCACCACACAGCCCCTGGCACAGTGGCGGCATCACCATTGATATCTTCAGCATTGCCATTGCCCATCGCCCAGCTGAGGTGATTGGAACCGTTTGGACGCCTCGGAGCTCTAGATCCTTTTCCGGGTTCGTGGGCCGATCATGTTTTCTCTGTGCCTTGACCTCGTGCCCTTTTCGTGGGCGCACGCGCGAGGCCAACCTAGAAATCTAGAAAGACGCATCGTTGTCCCAGTCTTCCTCCTCCCCATGGCGGCGGCAATGTGTGGTAAATATGGAAGCTCAGCACTACGATCTGATGGCAGCGCTGGCGGGGATACTCGGATTCATTATCTGGTATTGGGCCAAGTCCCAGACGTGTGACAGGACAGGCAGGGAGGACGCCCACCAACCATTTCGAAATTCGAGCCGCAGCCCTCGTCGCGATGCAACGCCAGGGCCCTGGCGGTAGCTGGGTCACCGTGGTTTCAAGCTAGTTACTTGCGCTCCCACGGCCGCGGCAAGCAGCCTCCTGCAGCGACGATGTGTGGCAGCGAGAAAGACGCACGTGTTCAGGCGTTCGCCCTCCTCCCCCTCCTCCTCCTCCTCCTCCTCCTCCTCCCCCTCCTTCTCCTCCTCCTCCTCCTCCTCCCCCTCCTCCCTCCTCCTCGCTCCTCCCCCGTGGCGGTGGCAGGCAGCCTCCTCGGCGCCCCCCCTCCCCGCCAGGCGAGGTGCGGGCCGAGCTGGCGGGCGCGCCAACGCGGGGGCCCGGCGCCGCCACGGCCGACGAGGTCGCCGTCGTCGTCGTCGTCGTCGTCGCCGTCCTCGTTGTCGGCGCCGCCGTCGTCGTCGCCGTCGTCGCCGTCGCCATCGCCGTCGCTGTCGCCGTCGACGCCCGCTCGACCGTGGCCCCCTCGCGTCGTGGTGAAGAGCCCGACGGAACGTTTCCTGGCGCGTCCCTCGGTTTGGTCCCGAGCGGCCGCCGGAAGCCCGAGCGGCTCGAAAGGTTGACATCCCCGCGTCGTGACAAAAGGCACGGCGGACGGTTTTTGGCCGATCGCGGCTTCCCGGGTGCCCGTTTCTGGGCCGCCTACGATCCGAGTCGATGCGATTCGACTCGCCGGCTGGAGCCGCGATTCCGATTCGGTTCGATTCGATCCTCCGGCATCGGCAAAGGCCAGCTCGAGCCAGGCACGGCGATCCGTTTTCGATCCGATCTGCTTTCGCGGTTCGCTCCAGGTCAGGCCTGCTTTTTGCGGGGCCTGGGGGCCGCCAGGAGACAATTCTCCACATATTGGGAAGCCAGTCCCACGGCGGAGAGGCTCCAGGACCTCTGGGGAGCCGCGCTGTGACAGAACGAGACGGTGCCACTTCTGGGCTCGTCGCCGCCGCGGCTGCCACCGACCTCAGCACCCTCTTCCTCCAGGCCCCTTCTCTTCACCGCCTTACCGCTGGCGCTCAACCTTGACCGCCCGCGCTGGGGACGCCGTCGCGTCGACGCGACACGAACCTGCCGTACCCTCCCCCTGGTCTGCTAGGGGTCGGTTCGGCCTCCCCTGGGAGGGGGAGGAGGAAGAGGAGGAGGAGGAGGAGGAGGAGGAGGAAGAGGAAGAGGAAGAGGAGGGCGCAGGAGGAAGAGGAGGAGAAAGAGCAGGAGGATGAGGAGGAGGAGGAGCTAGAGGAGGAGGAGGAGGAGGAGGAGGAGGGCGGAGGAGGAGGAGGAGGAGGAGGAGGAGAAGGAGGAGGAGGAGTAGGATGAGGAGGGCGCAGGAGGAAGAGGAGGAGAAAGAGCAGGAGGAGGAGGAGGAAAACGAGGAGGAGGAGGAGGAAGAGGAGGAGGAGGAGGAGGAGGAGGAGGAGGAGGAGGAGGAGGAGCCCCCCCCCCAGGATAGACGTACGACTCGAGCCCGGGAGACTCGAGCTCGCCTGACGGTCTCGTCAGAGGGGTCGAGGCCCCCGACCTCCGACGCCCAGATGTTTGCACTACCCGGTCCCCGCCGGAAGTCCCGCCCCTCTCCTTGGGGCCAGTGGTTCTGGGCCTCCCGGACGGGGTCCGAGCAGATGGGGCCGGAGGACTGTGTCGCATCGCCGGTGCATCGCCGATGCGGCTCGATGCGGAGCCCCATTTTCTCCACGCCGACGGCGCCGATGCATCGCTGACGTCGCCGATGCATCGCCGATGCATCGGCGATACGGCGCGATCTTCCGACCCCATCTACTCGGACCCCATCCAGGAGGCCTCTAGTGCTTCATCATGAGATGCTCCTGGAAAGGGCGCGGGCCCAGGGTTCTCTTTCAATTTGTACACTGTCCCCGTGCCATGTTGGGGAAGGGCCGGCGGAATTATTCATTGATAAATATCTAGGTCGGGAAGGGTTGACGGAATGATTTTTGAGGATGTCTCGAGCGAAACGCTTGTTGTTCCATAATTTGTTGAGGATGTCTCGAGCGAAGCGCTGGTTTTGCAGAGTTGGGGGATGTCTCGAGCGGGGGCCTCGTGGGGGGCCAGAATTCAGAGGATGTCTCAGGCGAAATGCTTGTTTTCACGCGCCCAGGCCGGCCAGGGGGGTATCCAACATGGTTGTCCGCCGCTGGCGCCTCAGACGACCGCATGTTGGATATCCCCCCTGGCGTGTATTCACGTGTCCAGCCCACCCAGGGGTGTATCAAACATGGTGGTCCCGAGCTGGAACCAAGTGTTTTTCCCAACCATCCTGTGGTGTTGGGTCCTCGTTTTGAAGAGACAGCGCCCCGCGTTTCCTCCTCCTCCTCCTTCCTCCTCCCTCCTCCCCTCCTCTCATCATCGTCATCATCATCATCATCATCATCATCATCATCATCATCATCATCATCATCATCATCATCACCATCACCATCACCATTATCATCATCAGCATCATCATCAGCATCATCACCATCACCATCACCATCACCATCACCATCACCATTATCATCATCAGCATCATCAGCATCATCATCATGATCATCATCATCATCATCATCATCATCATCATCATCATCATCATCATCATCATACTGATCATCATCGTCATCAGAATCATCATCATCATCATCATCAGCATCATCAGCAGCATCAGCATCAGCATCAGCATCAGCATCAGCATCAGCATCATCAGCATCATCATCATCATCATCATCATCATCATCATCATCATCATCATCATCATCATCATCCGCATGCGTCTCCCCCACCCAGTACAGCGTTTCGTGGCCCCATAGGAGCTCCGCCGAAGGTCCCAGTGGCACAGTCCGCATGCGTCCCCGCCACTCATTTCGGCACACCCCTCACACGTTTCGGGGCCCCACAGGAGCTCTGCCGAAGGTCCCAGTGGCACAGTCCGCATGCGCCCCCGCCACTCATTTCGGCCCACCCCTCACACGCTTCGTGGCCCCATAGGGGCTCCGCCGAAGGTCCCAGTGGCACAGTCCGCATGCGTCCCCGCCATTCATTTCGGCCCACCCCTCACACGTTTCGTGGCCCCACAGGAGCTCCGCCGAAGGTCCCAGTGGCACAGTCCGCATGCGTCCCCGCCACTCATTTCGGCCCACCCCTCACACGCTTCGGGGCCCCATAGGGAACTCCACCAAAGGTCCCCGTGGCACAGTCCGCACGCGTCCCCGCCACTGATTTCGGCACACCCCTCACACGTTTCGTGGCCCCATAGGAGCTCCGCCGAAGGTCCCAGTGGCACAGTCCGCATGCGTCCCCGCCGTTCATTTCGGCCCACCCCTCACACGTTTAGTGGCCCCACAGGAGCTCCGCCGAATGTCCCCGTGGCACAGTCCGCATGCGTCCCCGCCACTCATTTCGGCCCACCCCTCACACGTTTCGTGGCCCCATAGGAGCTTCGCAGAAGGTCCCAGTGGCACAGTCCGCATACGTCCCCGCCATTCATTTCGGCACACCCCTCACACGTTTCGTGGCCCCATAGGGAGCTCCACCAAAGGTCCCCGTGGCGCAGTCCGCACGCGTCCCCGCCACTGATTTCGGCACACCCCTCACACGTTTCGTGGCCCCATAGGAGCTCCGCCGAAGGTCCCCGTGGCACAGTCCGCACGCGCCCCCGCCATTCATTTCGGCACACCCCTCACACGCTTCGTGGCCTCATAGGAGCTCCGCCGAAGGTCCCAGTGGCACAGTCCGCATGCGTCCCCGCCATTCATTTCGGCACATCACACGTTTCGTGGCCCCATAGGAAACTCCACCGAAGGTCCCCGTGGCGCAGTCCGCATGCGTCTCCCTCACCCAGTACAGCGTTTCGTGGCCCCATATGGAGCCCCACCGAAGGTCCCAGCCAGCCAGCTAGCTCTCTTTGCTCCGCGCAGCGGACGACCCGCGCGCGTCGCTGGGACCCCTCCAGGGCGACCAGCGCGCGTCGCGGGGACTCCGTGCTGCGTTCTGCCCAGCGCCTCGCTCGCCCGTCGTCGCTCTGCCCGGCGGCAAGAGCATTGCCCGCTATCAGCCAGCCATCTAGTTCTTTTCGCTCCGAGCAGCGGACGACCCGCGCGCGTCGCTGGGACCCCTCCGGGGCGACCTGCGCGCGTCGCGGGGACTCCGCGCTGCGCTGCGCCCGCAGCCTTGGACTTTTGAGCGCGCGGGCAAAGAGGGAGTAAAAGAAGGGGAGAAAGCGGGCGCGATCCTCGCGGGGGGGCGCGCCGACATTGGCGTCGTGGCGCGCGGGTGATGCCGTCGGGGAGTCCCGGGGAAGCTCCTTGCGGCGGCCACGCCCAGCGTCACGGGTACTCAGAGGCAGTCATTCTCAAACTATTGACATTCATATACAATTACACCATGCTTTGTCATACTCGCAGTCATGCACGTAGACTCGCTCGCACGTAAATTGATTCACATTCAGACGCACTCGCGCTCAGATTCACCCGCGCTCAGTCTCCCTACGTACTCAGATCAATAGTTCTCGTTCGCGTTGTGTACCACCCCACTCATTTCGGCACACCCCTAGCACGATTCGTTGCCTCATAGGGATCACCACCGAAAAAGTGAATCACAATTGCGGTATTCACACCTGCATATGGTTGGGTCCTTCGTCAGGCGAATTACACACTCAGGCCACCCAGGAGGGGTATCTAACAGGGTGGTCCCGTCGCTGGAACCGTGCGTTTTCAAGTGTCCAGGCCACCCATGGGGGGAATTTAACATAGCGGTCATGTGTCCAGGCCACCGAGGGAGGTATCTAAATGTTGTCCCGAATTGGAACCACGTGTTTTTACGTGTCCAGGCCGCCCAGGGGGGATATCCAACATGGCGTCGGGCCCAACGACGAATTATCAGAAAACGCACGGGGGGCCGAAAAGCGCTATCCGAACACATGTCCCAGTGATGTGTTGCTCTGGACAGGGGGTGGCGCTTCGGGGGCCTCCCCAGGGAAGAATGCGAGGATGTCTCGAGCGGGAGCGCGAATTCAGCGTATCCAGGCCACGCAAAGGGGTATCGAACATGGTTGTCCCGAGCTGGAACCAGAATTTGTTCCATGTCCTGGCCACCCAGGGGGGTATCCAACATGACTGTCCCGAGCAAGGACCACGTGTTTTAACGTGTCCAGGCCACTCAGGGGTGTATCGGACATGGTTGTGCCGAGCTGGCACCACGTGTTTTTACGCGCCCACGCCACCCAGGGGGGCATCTAATATGGCTGTCCCGAACAAGGACCACGTGTTTTAACATGTCCAGGCCACCCAGGGGTGTATCCAACATGGTTGCCCAGAGCTGGCACCCACGTTTTCACGTGTCCAGGCCGCCCAGGGGGGTATCTAACATGGCGTCGGGCCCAACGCCGAATTATAAGAAAACGCACGGGGGGCCGAAAAGCGCTACCCGAACACATGTCCCAATCCAGAAGAATTATGGTTTCTTGTTCTGAACAGGGGGGTGCGCTTTGGGGGCCTCTCCAGGGAAGACGTTGCGAGGATGTCCCCATGGCACGTCCCCTGGCACGTCCTTTGGCGCGTTCTTTGGGACGTTCCGCGGCGCGCCCCCCTGGCATGTCCCCCTGGCATCGCCCACTTGCATGTGCAATTGAGGTCCTCAGAAACGGTTCCATGGCTCGCAGTTCTCAATCCCTTTTCCGGGTTCATGGGTCGATCATGTTGACGCTCCCAGGGCCCGGCGAGAACCCCCCCAAAGGAAAACGTATGCGACCAGCTTGCTCACGACCTCCAGGGGTCCCGCGGGGACCACTAGGCACCTCTGGGGTGCCCCTCTGCGGTGCCGTCGGTCGTCGTCCTCGTCGTCGTCCTCGTCGTCGTCGGTGGAGGCGGAGAAGGTGGGAGGAGAAGGAAGAGAAAAAGGAGGAAAGAAGTCGTCGCCGTCGTT